ACTAGTTTGACCAAACTAACACAGTAGATGAGATGGAGGGGAAAAAACTGAGTGATAGCTTTTCTCTTTTGATTATTATTACAAAACAATGAACATCTGCATTTTTCTGTTTGCATTATAGAAGTCCTGTTAAATAGATGTACAATGAAAGTGATAGCAATATTCTGAAATATTTAGAATAATCTGTGAAGAAAACGGACAGGCTTAATTGCATGAAATCATAACTACCTGTCTTCTGTGATCCAGCTGGTTTGGAAGAGGGAACTCCAGATCCTTATGAATGAATTAAAAATGTATCTTCAGATTGTGAACAAGGTTGCAAAGGTAAGGTTTTAGCAACTGATAGTGGAAATCAAGTTTTGCCACTGTGGTACTTTATTTATTATATGAGAAACTATATCTTCTGAGTATAGCAGATAAAAGCTTTCAAGATAAAAACGTTTCAGCAATGAAAACTATTGCTGGCAGCAAAGGGGTTTTGAAGTCAATCCAATTTAAATTCTAATTCCAGTTCTTCCACTTAATTATGTGTGGGCTTGAGCAAATGAACTAAACACTCTGAATTTCAGTTTCTTGAGCTATAAAAGGGATAAAAATCTCTATCTATACTTGTGACTGTGAGGATTAAATGTGATTATGTGTATATGAGATCTAGACATGGACATAATTTTCTGAAGAAATTTAGATTTTCTTGCAAGGGCAGTATTCTCTTTCCTTAAATAATTTTTGTCTATCTCAATGGACCCAATGGAATGAAAAATTTGTTTTCTCAACATGTCATTATGATTTTCAACCTAATGATACATTCCAATGTGACTCAAGCACATCTTGAGGTATTTCATATCAAAGCAAAGATTGATTTAAACATCCATCAAAGAACTTTCCTACATATGCCTTCAACTACATTTTACACGCATTGTTGTTGTTGTTGTTGTGTGCCGTGGAGTCGGTTCCGACTCATAGCGACCCTGTACAGGGTTTCCGATGCTGTAAATCTTTACGGGAGCAGAAAGCCTCATCTTTCTCCCGCGGAACAGCTGGTAGTTTCGATCTGTTGACCTTGTGGTTTGCAGTCCGATTCATAACCGCTACGCTACCAGAGCTCCTTACATGCATTGTTGTTATTGTTGTTATGTGCCGTCGAGTCAGTTCCGACCCATAGCGACCCTATATGCATTAGATACAAAAAAATTCAACAAGAGCTGAAATAAGGTTCATTTGACCAGTGTACAAAGCTTGACCAAAAGTGGCGACTAATACCTATCTAATGCCCCCCATTTAGATTTGTAAAAATAAAATTGTGTTTATGAAATATATATGTATGCACTATCTTTTGGCAAAATACATGGGAGGGCTTCAAAAAATTCCTTGAAAAAATCCATTATGTTCAAATTCCATTTTTCCACAAATTTTTTGAAGTATACATATGTCTTTGTTGTTGAATGTGGAAGAGTGGTACTGGATGAAGTAACACAGCAACAGCATAAATTGGTTTGAAAACCTTTCTCTCCTAACTTACATTATTAGTTGCAACTTTATTAGTGACTGTACAGAAGCCTTTTAAATGTTTTCTTCCTTTTCCTTTAATTATAACTTATCAAAAAAGTTATTGATACAGATTCACAAATACTAATGACCACAATTATCTATGTCTTTGTTGTTTTTAAGTATCATTGAGTCGGTTCTGACCCATAGTGACCCTGTATAGGGTTTCCGAGGAATGGCTAGTGAGCTTGAACCACCAATCTTGCGGTTCAAACCAATCTTGCAGTCCAGTGCATTAATCTACCTTGTCATACCAGGACTCACTATTTCTTGTTGTGTTGTTAAGTGTCATTGACTAGGTTCCGACTCATAGTGACCCTGAATATGGTTTCTGAGGAGCTGCTGTTGAATTTGAACTACTGACCTTGCAGTTCAAACAGAGCATTAATCCACTGTGTGTGTATATATAGTGACCCTATACTGGGTTTCTGAGACTGTAATTCCTTAACAGAGGAAAAAAGCCTCTTTTTTCTCTTACAGAACAGCTGGTAGTTCAAGCTGCTGACCCTGAGGTTGGGGTTAGCATACAGGCCCTTAACCACTATGCTAGGGGAACTCCATATATATGTATACGTTGCTGTTAAGTGCCAGTGAGTCAGTTCTCATTCATCTCATCATAAAGCTGTATAGGGTTTCTGAGGAGTGACTGGTGACTTTGCACTGCCAACCTTGCAGTTCAAACCAACCTTGTTGTCCAGTGCTTGTCCTACAGTGCCACACCAGAATTCCGTAAGTCATTAATGTTGTTGGTAATTGCTGTCGAGTTGATTCTGACTCATAGGGTCCCAATGTAAGGTTTCTGAGGAGCTGCTGTGGGTTTGAACTGTCGACCTTATGGTTCACAGTCTAGTGCTGATCCTACAGCACCTCACCAGAGTATGCAAGTGCTATAAACACCTTGAATTAGTTAAAACTGTTTTTACATGCATATTAATGATGTTGTTTGTTGTTAAGTGCTATTGACTTAGTTCTGATAGGGACGCTGTACAAAGTACTTAAGGCTGTAACCTTTGAGGCAGTAGGTATCATGTTTCTCCAGAGGAGTGGCTAATGGGGTTCGAACTGCTGATCTTGTGATTCACAGTCCAGTTCTTATACTACAGAGCCACTGCACCACCATATTAATGATGCTGTTCCTGTTAAAAAGTGCTTTGGAGTCAGTTTTGACTCATAGATTTCTATAGGGTTTCCAAGGACTGACTAATGGATTTAAACTACCAAGCTTGTGGTTAGCAGTCTAGTGCTTATCCTACAGTGCCTCACCAGAACTCCTTATTAATACGGTTGTTTTTGCTGCTGTTAAGTGTCATTGAGCCGATTCCAACCCATAGTGACCCTATAAAGGGTTTCTGAGGAGTGGCTGTAGAGCTTGAACCACCAACCTTGCAGTTCAAACTGCCTTTGCAGTCCAGCAAATTAAACCTCAGCAGTACACCAAGGACAATAGGGTTTTTTGTTTTGTTTTCATACTGTATGAACTAAGCTGTTGAGTTAGGAGAGAAACAGTTAAAAGCAACTAGTCAACTAGCTAAATGCAAACTTCCTTAAGGATGGCTCAGTGTGCTTGAGAAACAAGAGGAAGGTAAGACAACAAACATGCTGCTGAGGTTTATATGATATTGGTTATGAATAAATAAACTCCTTAAACATAGCTATCGGACATCTTATGACCTGAGCAGGTACTTTCTTCTAAAAGAGTGGGATGATAATAGTGAAAAGGTGATTCCTCAGTGGCCACTACACTTTCTGTCCTTGGATGATCTGACCTCTGGCATACACTGAGCCCAAATAGGTTTTCTCAGTATTCATCATTATTTATTTATTTTTTAAAAGTTTTTATTGTGAATTGAGTGAAAGTTTACAAGGCAGTTCATCAGTTTTACATTCAACAAATCGTATACTTTGTTTCATTACCATGATTATAATCCTCTCCATGTACCATCAGTTAACAGTATTTCTCTCTATTCTTTTTAGCTCTTTAAAAAAAAATAACACTCATGCATATGTAATAATGTATAACACCAGTTGTCATTTCTTTATGCTGTGTCTGATCTCTGAAATTAGCATCTACAAAAGAATATATAGAAATAAGAATATAGAAAAGTGTTTTTTACACAGTATTTGGGGAATAGCAAAAAGAAAATAATATCTTGGAGAATTTTAAGAGATAAGTTTAGGAGGTGTCCTGTATCCAGGTGAGCTTGGTAGGAAGATTACATGTATTGAGTATATGAGAGAGGCCCACTGAAGAGATGTTGAGCAAGTAAGTGACCTAATCTGAATAAGATTTTCATAGGGCTACCTCATGAGTCCCAGTGTGGCATTGTGGGTTAAAGTGCCAGACTGCAAGGTTGTTTTGATTTGTAAGGTCGGTGGTTCAAGCTCACCAACTGCTCTTGTAAACCTTATACAGGGTTTCTATGAGTTGGACCCAACTCGACAGCACTTAACAACAACAACAGCTTCAAGAGAACAAATTGTTGGAAACAAGAATGAAAGAAGACCTAGCAGGAGACCATGGTACTATACAATGAAGTAGCAAGGAAAGAGTGAGAATGATCAAGTTCATGATATATTTTGATGGTAGATTCATAACATATCAAGGTAGTATATGTATGTGAGAAGAATAAAGGAGTTGAGGACACTGAGAAGTTTGGACTGAACAATTGCAAAGAAAGTGATACCTTTTATTGAGATAGACATCACCTAGTGTGTATTTAGTGTGAAGTATTTATTTATTATTAAATATCTATTTTAATATCAAATTGGAGATGCCTATTCAGTAGCTAAAATATAAGTTTGAAAATTAGGGGATAAGTAGAGGATGAAGACTCAAAATTGGGGTGCTACAGTATTTATTGGTTAGGAAGAGGAAGGCAATTCAATCAAAGACACTTGGAAGGAAGATCCAGTGGGTAAGGCCAAAACCTAAGACAGTGACCTTTGGTCTAATACCTTATATTCCTAATTGTTTGACTTTGCTTATTTAAATTACCATGGTTGGTCATCAAGTGTTGTATAGTAGTATTTTTATAAGTTTATTCATGATGTACACTTTAATGAAAGTACCTGTCCTGCCTTTGTTTTCTCACTTCTCATTTAAACCTCAGTTAAATCATTTCTTCCAGTGGCAAGCCATTCCTCATGCCAATTTTATTTACATGTTCCTACATTACAAACTCTTAGAATCATGAGAACTTAATTCTAATAATACTTACTTCATTGGTCTATAACAGTCTGACTGAATCCTTATGTATCTAGAGCATTGGGGGTAGAGAAGAATGTGTCATTCAATTGCACATCTCAATATCCATGAGAAGTTTGACATATATCACTTTGTTCAAATTGAATTAAAATAAAATAAAACACAGATATCATAACGTGTTTTGAATGTCTTAATTGCTTTATAGATAAATTGCTTCTAATATCTGAAATCAGCACCTGTAGAAGAACAGATGGAACTAAAGAACAATGTAACTTACTTTGTCCTCCTGGGACTCACAAAGAATCCAAAGGAACAGATGATCCTTTTCACTCTATTCTTACTTTTCTATATTTTGACTATGGTGGGAAACTTGCTCATTGTTGTAACTGTGGTTTTCAGTAAGACCTTGGACTCACCTATGTACTTCTTTCTTGGAAGCTTATCATTTATGGATGTCATCTATTCATCATCCATCTCCCCCAGATTGATTTCAGACTTGTTCTTTGGGAAAACTACCATATCTTTCCAGTCTTGTATGATTCAACTGTTTATGGAACACTTCTTTGGTGGATCAGAAATCTTTCTTCTATTGGCAATGGCATATGACCGCTATGTGGCCATCTGTAAACCCTTACATTATTTGGTTATTATGCGACGATCAGTGTGTGTTGTGTTGTTGATAGTGTCCTGGGTTGGAGGTTTCCTACATTCAGTCATTCAGCTTATCACTCTTTATGGTCTCCCATTTTGTGGTCCCAATGTCATTGATCACTTTCTGTGTGACATGTACCCCCTATTGAAACTTGTCTGTGCAGACACTAATGTGATTGGCTTCTTAGTGGTAGCCAATGGAGGAATAATCTGTATTACTGTGTTCCTGCTCTTACTCATTTCTTATGGTGTTATCTTACACTCCCTGAAGAATGTTAGTCAGGAGGGAAGGCGAAAAGCCCTCTCCACTTGTGGTTCCCACATCACTGTGGTGGTCTTCTTCTTTATCCCCTGTATTTTCATGTATGCAAGACCTGCTAAGACTTTCCCCATTGACAAATCACTGAGTGTGTTTTATACAGTTGTAACTCCAATGTTGAACCCCTTAATCTACACACTGAGAAATTCAGAGATGACAAATGCTATGAAGCAGCTCTGGCGTATACTATTACTCCAACTGAGAATCAATCACAACATAAAATGACTCTATTCTTTGAGTGGTGACAAGAAAGGAATTTCTATGTTTCAAAGCCAAGAAAATATATTTTTTCAAAAGTGCTTAAATATTGGCTTATATGACCTTTGTGTAAACACCCAGGCAGGTAATTAAAACTTTAAGGATATCTCATTTAGATTTATTCATTGTCTATTTTTTTTTAATCTTTAATGTCTGCCTGAATAAGAATTGTTGTTAAACTGCAGATTTCCAATGCATAACTCTAAATATTATAGTTCAGTAGGAATGTAATTGTTTTTTCATATCCACATTGTAAACACATTATGAAAGCTTATTTCTGAAGCAAGTATCTATGTATTTATATTGAACAACAGTGCTATAAATTATATTCACATCCTTAGAAAGATGGAGCCTCCTTTTAACGAATTTCCTGGGAAATAGCCTCTATAGCAGATGCTTTGAGAACCATGAAACACTCACATCTTCATATATCATGCAATGCAGGCCCTTCACTTCTGCAATTGTAAAACAAACATATAATATCCAGGGCAAATATGAATATCTGAGATATTTATTCTCTCTTTTTGCTTGTGAGGCACTCTAGGATCAGCATTTGACTGCAAACCACAAGGTCAGCAATTCAAACCCACCAGCTGCTTCTTGGAAACCCAAGACAGGGTCTCTGTGAATCGGAACTGACTCAACAGCACTTAATGATAGGAGCAAATCCCTTTCTACTGTGTCCAACAATCTACCTCATAAGATCTGTTTACTTTTCCTTCTTCTGTTTCCAGTTTTTGACTAAATGTATTTATCTTAGCTATTCATTCACATACAGAGCAATGCTTTCATGGGTTGACTACGTGTAGAAGATTTTGTGCATTTAATCATATATGTATAGTTTAAAGAAATGGTTTTAAACTAAGATTTTAACTTGGCACTGTCTTACTCAGACACTGTCAAGTTAAAATCAGAGTTTTGTCGTTTATACTATGAATTTTAACAAATCAATCTCATTAAATTTTAGCTAAAGAAGGATAAAAGTTGGAAAATAGGAATACATAAAACAATACTGTCATATCTCTTGTTGTTATTGTTAAGAGCCATTGAGTCAATTCCATCTGACAGCAGCCTTGAATAGGGTTTCCAAGGATTGGCTGATGGATTTGAACTGCCAATCTTGTTAGTAGTCTAGTGCTTTTCCTATAGCACCACCATATCTCTTAGTATGCAACAAATAATCAATCATAGTTATTGCATACATTATTAATTAAGGTAGACTCTGAAATTATAATGAACTACAAACTGGCCCTGGTTTCATTTTTGGTTTGTTTGTTTTTAGAAGGGTTGATCCATAATTTATTTCTCTGTGCATCCTGTGATGAACATTCTGAAAGCTTATTGGTCTGCTAGGAGGTCTTGAAACCTACAATAGGATCCAACATCCTCACATGTTCCTGACTCTGGGTCCTGGTTTTCTGATCTCCATTGACCTAATTCTTCCAGGAATGTATTGCTGATACATGTGTGCATCTGATGTTCTCATGACAAGTTTAATATGAATCTGAAGTCAACACAACAGCCAGCCATAATATAAACATACATAAAACAAAAGGAAATAATGTTCAGAGTAACTAAGCAGTGAAATGGTTACGGTCACTCTGGAGTAGATTTCTTGGTTTGAATGAGACATAGGAAACTTATTTGACCTTCCCTAGTCACATGTTGTTCAGCATATAAAGGTAATAATAATAACTACCTTATAACATTGGTTGTCGTGGTGTTGCTTATGTGCTTTGGAGTTGATTCTGACTCATAATGAACCAGTATAGGGTTTCTGTGGCTGTAAACCTTTATAGGAGCAGAAAGATGTCCATGGAACATCTGATAGCTTTGAACTGCTGACCTTGAGGCTAGCAGACCAATTCATAGCCACTATGCTCTCAGAGCTCCTTAGTCAAGCCATTAAATATTTAATGTGTTTATTACAATGGCTGAAACATTATATAACTATTCCTTTAAAAGAAAAAAAATATATTGACTGGTGCTGAGCCAACTTGTAGTTGGGGCTGATTTGAGCTGGTATCCCTTTCAGAATGAGCAGTAGCCTCATTTTGTCTGGTCATGATCTCTATAGAGCTGAATCAGGTTCCTTTTGCTTTATATCAAAAAGCAACCTTTTTCTATGACCAACACCATCTCTTATAGCTTTTTATTTGAATGTCAAGCAGTTGTTTATTGGCATGTGTGGTCCTGATTTAAAAACATTAGAGTTTGAGAGGTTGTGGTAAAATTTCAAGCCTGGAGTCAATGATGCTAGGATGGATTTCCATCTCACTAGGTATCCTAGTGTAGCGCTGTAGGATCAACACTGGACTGGCAACGGCAAGGTTGGAAGTTCAAACACACCAACTGCTCCTTGGAAAGTCTATATAGGGCCGTTATGAATTGGAACCAACTTGACAGCAATTAACAGCAACATTTAATGTCAGGAGAAGCTCTGGTAGTGCAATGGTTAAATGCTTGTCTGCTGACCCAAATATCTACAGCTCAACACAACCCATAGCCCCATAGCAGCAAATTTCTGACTATCTGCTCCCATAAAAATCAAAGCATAAACCAAGCCAACCTGAGAAATTCAGAGATGACAAATACGATGAAGACATTCTGCAGAAGAAAAGGCATATAAGGTAGTAAATAAGTGTTAAATCCACTAAAAAAAAGAGGTATTTGGATTTAGAGCACATCTCCTTGGGACTCAGAGATCTTGAGTGCTGCATAAGCTCTCTTTGACTGTAATCTTTTCAGAAGAAGATCATCAGTCATTCATCCACAATGTCCCTAGATGTGTTGGAACCTCCAGATTTTAGGTTAGTAGTCAAACATAAATAGCTCCCACCAATCAAAGATAGAATAAGGATATCTGGGTAGTTATATCCATAACTGTGTGCTTTAGAATCAAAGCCATATGTGATTAATACAGATCCTTGTAAGGTCAGATAAAGAATCATATGAGGGTAGATAGACACCTTGGGTCCCCAGATATATGCAAGTATATGATAATATATACCAACATGGTAAATGGATATGACTTGTGTGTAGTCAAATACTCAAGTGAGTAGTCAGACACACATCTGTGTGTGATCCGAAAGAGCTCCATGAGTGTTGCATACAAACATGTATGTGCAGTTTTATACCATCCTAAGCATCACTGGATACACATCCATGTATAGTAATACAAAATATATGTGGTCAGGAACTTATTGATGAGCGATTGGATACAGATATATGTGTACGTTATATACCATCAGTTAAAATCTATATGTGGTCATAATAATCTACATGTGATCAGATAAAAATTCATGTGTCATAAGATGCATACACTTGTGTGGACATATAAAGCCTACATGTGGTAGACTACAATGTGAATTTTGTCAGATAAAGACCCATAGTGTATTGGAGACACTTATAGGATTCTTCAATCATATAAGATACACCAGTGTTTACTGAACAATACATCTTTGTGTACTCAGATGCATGCTTGTTTCTGGTAAGATTATATGTATTATAAGACACAGACCCTTGAATGCTCAGATACAGACCTGTGTGATTTTATGATAAATTATGTGTGAACATGCATGATAAATTCATCCATGTGTTTGGACACATACCCACATGTGATTTTATACAAAGTCATGTATGTTTGTTGTTGTTAGATGCCGTCCAGTTGGTCCA